CTCAATAGATGGCCAAAGTATTTGAGTTTCCTCTTCAGGATCTGGCCTTCTAAAGAGGAGTCAGGATTGATCTCCTCTAGGACTGAACGGTTGGATCACCTTGCAGTCCAAAGGACTCTCAGGAGTCTTCTCCAGCACCAGAGTTCAAAGGCCTCCATTCTTCAGTGCTCAGCCTTCCTTATGGTCCAACTTTCCAATCTCCTTTCCAAATTTGTTGAGTGCAAAGAACTAAGGAGCACTGAGTTCAGAACACTGCTCTGAATGTTATTATTGATGTTGTTAGTTGCGAAGTCATGTCCAACCCATCGCGACCCCACGGACAACGTTCCTCCAGGCCTTCCTGTCCTCTACCATCCTCTTGCATCCATTTAAGATGAAGCCCACAACCTCAGGCCCCGGCCCCATCAGAACTGGGCTACAGAAGTGGCAATCAAGCATACACCCAGTTCCATTTGCACGAGTAGTGAATGCGTGTGCCCCACAGCTTTTGCAAATGGAGCTGCACGCATGCGCCCACCTCCCCCACCCTGGCGTTGGCCCAGAACCATCCCCCTCTCCCCTTTTGCTGGTCTATGAAGCCAGAAAGGTTGGGGAAGGCTGTTATAGGGTCTCTTGCTTGAGTTCCAAGGTCCCTTCCAGCTTGATTCTGATTCTGATTCTTTCACTGTCCTCTGCTTTTACTGAAATCTTCTTATACAACATCTGTACAAAAATGGTAAATTTTGTACCCTCATCTTCTTGTCTTCTTTTTTTAAAAAAATCTCCCCTCCAATGCTCCTTCGCCCCCTTTATAAGAAAGAAATGGGATAAAGGAGTGGAATGCCCCTGAAATTTCACTATCAATACTCAGTTGGGAGGGAAGTTATGAAGGGGAAAAAAAATGCAAAATCATATGACCTACTCCATGGTTTTCATCCACTTCAAAGGTTCCCACTCGGCATCATTTCAGTTTAATTGTGCCCTTAGGTTTTCTAAAATTCTCTAGGGATGTTTGCTAGGGACCCAACATTTAGAGAGGGAAGGTGGAGTATCTCATTACCCCACTGTGTTCAGTTACACTCAGCTCTATTGTGTATGCTATTTTGAGACATTTCAATGCTGTGCATAAGCTTTGCCCAGAATTACTGGTTTTAATTGCTTTTTATTTATAAGGGAAATATTGCAACCTAGATATGTGTCAGTACTGGTAGTCCTTGACTTATGACCATTCATTTAAGCGACCTAAAGCGGGGGGAGCACAGGGGGGGGTCGCGTGCAGGTGTGCCACACCCATAATGCTATGCGCCTGACCACAGCATGCCTGTGCGCATGGCCAGCGCTTCACCCCATTTTTGGCGTGCTTTTTTCACCTTCCCCAGGCTCCAGAGGCTTTATAGGAGCCTGGGAAGGGTGAAAACAGCCTCCCCTGACCCCCGGAGGCCCCCTGGAGGCTTCAGGAGTTTCCCTGAATTCTCTGGAGCGTGAAAAACCGGCCCTACAGTCAAACCAGAAGTTCAGGAACAGACTTCTGGTTTGCTCATAGGGTCTATTTTAGCCCTCCAGAGCCTTCAGGTGCCTCCAGGATTGAGTAGGGGCTTGGAGTAGAAGACCCCCAAGGTCCCTTCCAACTCTGTTATTCTGTTGATTTACATAAATATGGTTTTGTTCCATACTTTCAAGCATTATTCCTGTCTGTGTTGGGACTTGATATTTAGATATCCAAAGCTTCCTTGCTGCAGACAACTGGGCTGAAAAAATGAAAACTAAAAATGGGAAGAGCTCCTTACATCATTTTCCAGGTTGGATTGAAACTCCCCAAACCATTATCTGAATAGTGTAATGATCTCCAGATCTCAAATATGTGGATATCAAACTGAAATTAGGCAGCTACCAATAAATACTTAGGCTCTCTTTCTGATCTCCAGCCGGAGATATTGGACTGTCATTCTCAACCTCCCTTACCTCTAACTTAGGAAGATGGGAGTTGTAGTCTCAAGCTCCTGGAGGCCAGGGGAAAGAGATTAGTAAAAAGAATTGTATGATCCCAGTGGTGGGTTTCAAAAATTGTTCGAACCTTCTCTGTGGGTGTGGCCTCCTTTGTGGGAGTGGCTTGTCGCCCATGTGACCGGAT